CTATAATATATATTGAGTAATTTATACTCGTGGATAAAATACATTATCTGTAGTTATTTCCTTTAGGACAAAAATATTTATTAAATCTCCAGAACGTTAAATCGAGGGCTTACCGTGTGTTTATTTTAATAAATTTGTTGTTCCCGAAGGCCAAAACCGCCGACGAGGTGATTACTCTATCAGAACACTTCGCTTACCAGTAAATTCTCACTTTCTTTATTACTTAATTGAGACTATAAACGATTTTATCCTTGAAAATAACCAAGTGAGGAGTTTTGTGTTCGTATGCATTAATTTTTTTTGTTTTGTTTTTTGTTTTTATGCCTAAATAGAGGCCAGTTACCCTTAAAAGAATCCCGGAAGGCTACTAATAATAATTAAATGTCGAGTAATTTGGCACTAGAGTAGGCGTTAGGCGCCATAACTTATTAAATTTAATAATTATAATTATTAAATTTGATACGAGATAGGGCCTAACGCTTGCATTTAGTGCCAGATTACACACGGTATTTAATAATTATTAGTAGCGGTAATGTAGCTCGACCTTTAGACCTCTTTTAACCTTCAGACAAAAAGAGAGTACGTAGACCTATAATACACGTATGTATGGTTAAACACAAGTGCGGATCTAGGTTTTTCGGGGCTTAGGGCATCTTGAAGTACAATAAGGCCCCATTTTTTGTTAATAGAAATACCATAACTTATCATCGTTATTACATTATTAACATTAACTATATTTTACTAAACGATAAGTGCTCATTGTTAATGGAAAAGTATTAGAAATTTATGATAATAATTCAATTTTTGTGGGCCCTCGGCCCTTGGTGGCCCGGGGCTTAAGACCTTTTAGTCCCTATGTAGATCCGCCCCTGGTTAAACACGTAGAGCTCACAAAGAAGACAACGGAATAGAAATTACTATAAGTAAGGAAAGCTTTAAATTTTTACTTTTTTAGCGACTGAACTCGTCTCCACAGCGGCATCGCTTGCAGAATTTCCCGCTCCTACTACTACAACTTTCTTGTCTTCGAATTCATCCGGTTTCTTGTAACTGTGAGTGTGAGTGATGCTTCCTCTAAACTTTTCCTGTCCGGCGAAAGTAGGGATATTTGGAAACACGTGATGGCCGGTGCATACCATAACCGCATCGACAGTCTCTTCTCGCTCCTCTTTACTGTTCAAGTTTACGGTTGTGATTGTCCATTTGCCGGTCGAATCGTAATCGTCGGCCCGAACGATTCTCTCCACTCGATGGTGGAACTTAACGTGCGGTATTAAATCGAATTTCTCCGCGTAGAGGCAAATATGTTCGAACATAATGCTGTTATGCATGTAATTTGGATACTCCTTTGGAGGTGGAAAATCACTGATTGCAGTCATTTCTTTGCTGCTGTTGATGATAGTGGATTTTGTAACTGAAGCCAAACCCTCTTCGTCGCCGTCTCTGTATCTCCATAGACCACCTATGTTGTCGCTTCTTTCGTAACAAACTACGTCTAAATCTTCTTCTTTACAGCCTTTGATGGCTTCCAAACCACAGATTCCCGCACCTACAACGGCTACTCGCATGTTTAATTCCGTGTAATTCTCCTCTAATTACTAGTATTAATGCAAGATATACTGATCTTCGACAGGTTTTATATAAATCACATTCAGTTTTCTTATCAGAATATGATAAGGCGAATACAGAACGTATCACGTGTCTTATCTGGTTGAATTGGGGCTCCGGAAGTTTTAAACTAGAGCAGAAAATATAAACACGGACGAGTATACATCCCTACCAATGCACTTTTAATATTTATTATCTAACAGAAAAGCAGTAATTATCAGAAAAGTTTGGATTGATTAAAGGCAAAATAAATAAAAAGAATTTATTACGAATGTTGCTACAAATTCTGTTTTAAATATCGACAGGGCTGCATATCACAATTTTCTACCGAAACCTTGAGAAAGAAATAAACGATAAAACAAGAGCGACAAATAAAATAGGAAATTTCAAAGAATGTTATCGACTTTTATCGTCTAGATTCTCTAGAACAAGGGTGGGCAACCTTTTTTATAACATGGGCCAGAATAAATTTTACGTTTTTTCCGCGGGCCATAGTAGTTAATTGACACCTTGTGACCTGTAAATTTTTAGTCTGCAAATATAAAATAAATAAATAAATAAATAAAAAGAAATTAATTACTACAGTCGATCCCCCTATAACACTGTTGATTATTCTGTTTTATATGAATTCCACGTTGTATGAGTCACTTAGATTTTACAAATTCGTGTGCCGGGCTGTGAACGGCTCACCTATTTGTAAAATCTAAGTGACTTTAAACACAATAAAAACAGCACTATGTAGTTGGATACGACAGATATTACATTTTCTAATTGCATAGCTTTTGCACATAGATTTTCTTGATGAATGATGCGATGAGATATAAATAATTTAGAAAAATTCTGTTCTCCCATTGTTTGTTTTAATAAGGAAATGACTCCCTTATTTTTTCCTGTCATTGCTGCCGCAACACTTCAGAAAATAATATTCAATTTAAACTAGACGAATTACATCGAAAAATATTTATTTATAATATCTTCTAAACATCTCGCGGGCCGGATAGAAACTCTTCGCGGGCCGTAGCTGGCCCGCGGGCCGGGGGTTGCCCACCGTTGCTCTAGAACCACCATACTCAACCTGCGGCCCGCTGAGCTTTTGTGAGTGGCCCGGACATGAAAGAGAGCGGAAAATAATTACGTTGACTTCTGGAAATAATTACCACTTCTGGAAAGTAGTGCCCGATCAATATAAGACTGTAAAAAATGTGCTAAAATTTTACTTACGTTGTTCGCATCAACGTATCTATGTGAAACGTCACACTCAAAAATGAAATATGTAAAGAACATATGTAGAAACTGGCTTACTGATTCACACCTAGATGCCGTTTTACGAGTAGCATGCAGCAGTTAAAAGCCTGATTTAAATGAATTGACTGCCAGATGGCCGAGCGGTCAAGGTGGCAGCCTACCGCTCTAGGGGACTCGGGATCGGATCCGGTTGGGTCAGAGAATCCCCCAGGAATTTTTCGGGGCGTAGTCCGTTCGGATGTGTCGGGCCCCGTCCCTCACCACCCGGCCGCACCCGACCTGACCATAACGGGCCTCTTAATTGGTCCCTGCTGGCACTAAGAGGGCCTCTTAGGCCCTCTTAGTGCCAGCAGGGCGGAAAGAGTATAAAAAAAAATTTTTAATGAAATTGTGAAAAAATGTTCGCAATATCAACAATTACACCAAATTTCTAGGGTAAGTGAGAAATTAACCGCTTTATTCCCGATTAATTATAATTAAACATAAAAAATACTTAAAACTGAAAGAAATGCGTTAATTTTGAAGAAAAAGCTTCAAATTTTAACTTCCTTACTCTAGCCTTTCTGCCGATGAGTCATTGTTTACACAGCTGGATGACCTGGAGAACAGCTGGTGTTGGATTTTCCGGGACATTCTCATAGAAGTCTCGGGAGGACAAGGGTTTAAAGTAGGATGAATACTAGCTGGCGGTATATTTTTAAATATTTTAAAAAAATTAAAAAACTATTAGAGGACCATTTTGATATCAGAAAGTAGCTTTAAGGTTGATTAAAATCGCGATAAAATGTTTTCGCGCGGGTAAAAATTTTTGAAAAAATTTGGAGACCTAAAAAACATTGAAAGTTGAAAAAAAATTTTCGGGACCGAAAGGACAGAGTTTTTTGTAACGCTATGTAAACTTGACGAGTTATCTCGTCAATGGTGAGAAAGAAGGTTAAATTAAGTAAGTTTTTTATTATAATTATGTTGCGGCCCGCGTGTAATAGCTATCATGTGTATGTGGCCCGAGAGAAAAAAAACTTGAGTGTGGTGGGTCTTCGTTTATTCAAAAATGTCCGCAGTACTCGAAGTTAAAGTGGTGTTTTTAATTAGCCCTGTTTAAATTACATCAAAACATACTTCTCAGATCAGTAATAGTCTATAGGCTGTTTACGGTAAAGTTTTACTTTTCTAACAGGTTGTATAACATCTTTATGTAACTTATTAAACAGAAAGACTAACCACAGCGGGGAGAAGTGTGGCTACACTGTGGTACTACTACACATCCTTGTTCACGTTGTCATTAATTACATTTTTTATGTCTAAGAGTGACTCTTCAGTAGAGTCCGGACATGAATACGAATATTGCAATTCACTAAGTAATTTGAGAAAAATCAAAAAATTCTGCATAAAATTTACTTAAAAAATTAAAACTCGCTCGGAAAAATTGTTTTTCGTAATATTTAAAATTATTAACACGTAAAAGTGATTAAGATACTAAAGATTTTATGCCTGAAAGTCTGTCAATATAATTAAAATTAAAAGAAAATTATAATTAAATATAGCTTTGTAAAGAAACGTACGTAAAAATAAAACTGAATACTGTATTCTTTACTTTTTAAATGGTAAAACAATGCACTTAGTCAAATAGCTCCCTTCCAGTGGCTAATGGATGGAATCGTTGGTGCGTAACAGCCACCAGCTAAATTGCGTTGGGTTGGTGCTCTGTAAAGCCCATGCGCATAATTTTCTTTACACTATTCAAATATTTTTGCCGTGGAAGATGTCACCTATTCGACAATATGGCGCTTCCGTTGGTAATTTGCATGTACGAATTTATATTCGAATATACAACGGCAATCTTAGCGTTGTTTTTCACGTGTATAGAAATTTGTAATAAAATACGTAATGCGGTTATAATAAGATATTGTATTAATTTTAAGTAATTCAAAGTGCGTTAAAATATGAAAATAATTGCGTAATATGCATTTAAATTTTAGAAAATACAAGGGAAGCCGCGCTTCCTCAGCTTCCATGGACGGCATGCCACTGTTATTTATTATAAAAAAAGGCAAAAACTTGTTTTGGGAGAATGAATGCTATTGAGTAAAATTTTCATTAAGTCTGATATTGGAGATATGACACATGACCCCCCCCAATCTATCCATCTTTAACCATCAAATTTAATAGGATTAATTAATACCCCATATATAAAAGCATTGCCATAGATGGGTAAATCAAATTTATTGGCATATAAATATAGATATATAGGGTTCTGTTATAGTATTTTATAACAGCATTATAGAATAGTTTCAAATGTTTAAATGTTCTAATTTATTTTTTAAGAAATAATTACAAACTTACTTCGATTTAGCACCACAATTTGTTCATCTATGAAACCGGCTCCAAATTAGGCACTAAATCGAGGTACTTTAATGATATATATACTGTAGTAATGAGGTCTACATACAAATTTGAAATTCGTGTTGTTTGTAAGGCATTTAGCAAATTACAGCTACCGAAAAATTCTTTTAGGCGCATATTTATGAGGACAATCCAATTCGCGAGTATTCATTAATGCTTTGTTGATGTTTGACTACTATTCAATTATTTACCTGTTTAATGCTTACTTTATTTGCAGATCCACTTCAAGATCCATCATTTTTAACCATCGCTTGCAACTATGGTAGACTAGGAAACCAAATGTTTACTTACGCCTCATTATTGGGTTTGTCGAAAATGAATAAACGTACTCCTTATGCGCCAAAATGTAATATGGATACTGTTCGAAGATATTTTAAAGTGACAGCAGCAGAGATTTCAGATCTTTCAAAACAAAACAGAAGTGAATATCCTCTAGGACCGTATTTCCGTCCAAAAGATGCCCACATTCCAAAAGACAAAAATATACTTACTGGATACCCATACCCAAATTCATTTACATTTTTTGATCAAATTAGAGATGAAATTAGAAAAGAATTTCAATTTAAGGAAAGCATTATATCTTACGCTCAAACTTATCTTCATTCTTTAAAAAATGTTACGCGTTCAGATGTTACGTTTGTGGGTATACACGTCAGGCGAACCGATTACTGTAAGTGGTTACAAAACTATTACGGAAGACAAGTAAACATGATGTACTTCAAGCAAGCCATAGAATATTTTCAACTGAAGTACAGCAGAGTGATTTTTGTGGTCGTAAGTGACGATAGAGGATGGTGTAAAAGAAAATTAGGTATTTGGCCCAACGTGTTCGTGGCACCGGAGCAAACCGATAGTGCCCACGATATGGCTCTTATGTCTCAGTGTAATCATACCATTATGACTTACGGTTCGTTTGGGTTTTGGTGCTCTTATTTAGCTGGTGGAGAAACGATTTATTTTGATGAATACATAGCCCCGAATTCGTCNTCTCTCCTCGTCACATGGTGACAATTCGAAACTCCAGGAAGGGCGCGGGAGAGTTCAACGTCGCGTCGGAACACGACTCCTCTCCAACCTCGTTTTCCTCGACTTTACTCTATCTATTGTCTAAAATCTTTTAACACGACAAACGGTTCATTGTTTAAATCCGATCTTTAAGTTCGCTCTTTCGCACTACGAAAATTGACTCTTTTAAAAAGTCGTTATTGGCCTGCTTTCGGACCCCGTTTGGGTCCTCACAATACTATTAATAAATGTAGTGTAGTGTTATAAACCTATTATTATATGTTGAGTTTTGTGAGTTACACTCAGTTTACACTGATGGCTACATACTATGCCAGAGTCAAGGCATAGCAACCAAAACAAGACAAAAATTAAGTAAGTGTGTCAGTGTGTGTCTGTATTCAAGAATTTCCTAACAATATGACATGCATTCAATATAGTAGCCTTCTGTAGTGTGATGTATTTCTATTCAATTGTAATGTTCCCAGGCTTTTGTGTAGTATCACACCTGTACAGGAAAGAACGACAGGTTCAATAAACACCCTGTCCATCCTCCACAGATGCCTTATTTCCTGGGTGAGTTCTGTGTACTTGCTAATTTTTTCAGTGCATGTGTTTTGTACATTGTGAGTGTTTGGAATGGCTATGTCTATAATGTATGTGATTTATTGTTTGTCAATGAGTGTGATGTCTGGTCTGTTGTGGTAAATTGTTTTATCTGTGATTATGGCTCTGTTGTAGTGAAGTTTGTGCGTGTTGTTTTCCAATACTGTCTGTTGAACGCATTTGTAGTATGGTTCATGGATGTCCAATAATTTGTGTTTCTTTGCAAGCTCTTCATGTATTTGCTACTTGATTACGCCTATGTAAATAATCTGTCTGTGCCAAGAGCTTGCAACCAGAAGTGATGTGTTGTATGGTTTCTGGCATGATGTGACATTTTCTGCATGTCTTGTTTGTGATTGCTGTATCTTTATGTTTTCTATAGTTTTTAGTATTTATGACCTGATCCTGTATGGCAATCATAAATCCTTCAGTCTCCCCAAAGAGGCATCCCCACTAACCAGCTGTTTGAGACAGTTTCGTCAACAAAATCCTGGGTCAGGTCATAGGGATGTCTGATATGGAGTGCCTTTCACACCCATGATTACTTAATGGTGTCTTATGCTATTTATATGTTGTTTCATGTCCATACATTGTGAATGTAAATTTTATGGCGTATTATTTGAATCTGCTAGAGTTAATGCTTTATGTAACTGTGATGTTTCTTGTAGAAAAACTCTCACAGCAACTGTGTTTGTAGTGAAGGTTAACTATGTCAATCAGGCCAAGTCCACCATCTTTACGTGGAAGGGTTAAGCTTTCTACGGCAGATTTAGGATGATGATGTTTATGCTTAGTTAGTGTTCTTGTTTTCATTTGGAGTTGCTCAAGATCTGTGAGTCCAATATACAACTCCAAAAGAATAAGTGAGTACTGGGATGACATATGTGTTTATTGCTTTATGATCATCTTATTTCATCAGTGAATGAAATACAAGCATAACAAACAACAACTGTGATAAAAATATATAAATAAAACTTGAAATTAATAGAATATGTAAAAGTTCACATCACACCTTTCACCTTGCGATGGCACACTGCTCTAGTGGTCAAAATTAAAATACCTTTTTCCAACCTTTTCCCACCTGTGATCATAAGATGGCTGCCTTATCAGGTTTGTTGTGGGCTTGGACTGGAGCCATCCTTAAAAATCCTTTGTGAACATAAAGAATCTAATCTACTGTTTGTCTGTTAAATGAAATAGATATTAGCAGTTTAGTTTAAAAATTCAATTTAAATGAACAATCTAGGATTTTTTCCTTTGTATATTCTTCAGTAAGTCATTTCACAAAAAAATCAAATCTCTGAAATTGTCTCATTCTTACATGTACTTTTAGATATAGCCCAAAGGCCAATTTATACATTTGTATTAACTGTTTATTAATTAAATTCTGTATTTTTAATCTGCAGATTTTTCAATTACATAAAAACCTTAAAATACAGCGATACCTTCGGTTTTCGTTGATAATCCGTCCAAAAACAATTGGCAAAATCCAAGGCAATTATTTCCATATGAGTCAATTTAAATCCAATTAATTTGTTCTAGACACTCCAAAATACAGATCAAAAACACATTATAGACAATAAATACAGTGTTTAATACTAAAAAACAATAAGAAATTAATATAAAATGAATATAAAAGAAATATAAAAGAATAATGTAAAGAATAAATGAACAGACTATAAATGTATGTCTCTTTAATCCAAAAATTAATATCAGTAGACTAAAATTATATAGGTGAAACTAGTAGAACTTTAGAATTAAGAAACACGAAGCAGCAATAAGATTAAAATATAATAATTCTCTGTGGTTCAACCATATAAGAAATAGTAATTGTCAAATAGATAGAAATAACATAACAATAATTCATTCAGAAAAAGATATGTATATATGTAAATTTAAAGAACATATTGAAATTATAAAATTTAAAGATGATAATTTAATCAATATATCAAATGGCATGCAAATAGATCAACAGTGCTACAATATGATAGAGGGCACTAAAGGAAAAAAGTGATTGTAATGTATTTGTCATGCACATTGTTGTATTAGAAAATGAATGGAAATATATTGTGAAATTATGTATGTATTCTTTTGAAAATGATTTTATTACTATTGAACTGCATGTAATTAACCTGTAAAACTATTATAATTACAGTTACTGCAACGTTATGTTGTAGAAAATACACATTCTTTGAAAGTTGTACTTATACAAGATTTTATGAGCATGTTGAAAAAAATAAAAGTGGGTATGTATCGTATTATATTATTATTTTATTGGAATATGTGATATTATGGAGAGAAAAATTATAAAAATATTAGGTTTTCCATATAAATGTTTGGAAAGTTTATTTTTGGTGTTTTTAACAGCTGTATTAAAAAATCTTTCCAATGTTACCTGTTATACACCATGGTTTTAGAAGACAAAACCAGCTACCATAAGCGATATTTAGAATAAATGAACATTTAACATGGCATTCAAAGGGCTACTGGCTATGAAAACTTTCTTTGGTTCCATGATGGAGCTAAAATGAAAGGATAGCAGTGCAATTCTTTGGCTTTTTTTTTAAAACTATCTGCCCTGTGGGCACTAAGAGGAAATCTTTTTAGCAAGCCCATTATAGGTTTGGCCAAGCCCACAATGGGGCAGTCGGGTGGAGAGGAACAGGCCCAACATATCCGGATGGACCACTTTCCGAAAAATTCCTACGGATATTTTCCCCTTCCACAGTCGATCTTGGGACCCCCAGAGTAGTAGGCGGCCATAGAGCAGTTGTTTAGCTAGACATGCAGAGTAATGCTCACACTACAAGAAACAATGCTAAACTGAGCAGGAAAATGCATGGGTCTCCCTTTGTTTTTGAAAATTTGCAGTGAGTCACATGGGCACACAAACAAAATCTGAGGCAAATTTTTTGTGAAAAAAATAGACGAAAACTGAAATCGATGATAACCAAAGTCAACAAAAACCAAGGTATTACTGTATATTTTGGTTCAGATTTTTAAAAAAATGTAACGAGTATGTTTTGATATTACTCAACGTATATAAATTGAAAATTACCATAACAAAACATCAACATTTTATCATTCTGTATTATGATTTACAATGGTCAGAACAATCATATTTAATTTAANGCTAATGAAAAATTCTTTTAGGCGCATATTTATGAGGACAATCCAATTCGCGAGTATTCATTAATGCTTTCTCGATGATTGACTACTATTCAATTCTTTACCTTTTTATGCCTTTATTTACAGATCCACTTCAAGATCCAACATTTTTAACCATTGCTTGCAACTATGGTAGACTAGGAAACCAAATGTTTACTTATGCCTCATTATTGGGTTTGTCGAAAATGAATAAACGTACTCCTTATGCGCCAAAATGTAATATGGATACTGTTCGAAGATATTTTAAAGTGACAGCAGCAGAGATTTCAGATCTTTCAAAACAAAACAGAAGTGAATATCCTCTAGGACCGTATTTCCGTCCAAAAGATGCCCACATTCCAAAAGACAAAAATATACTTACTGGATACGCATACCCAAATTCATTTACATTTTTTGATCATATTAGAGATGAAATTAGAAAAGAATTTCAATTTAAGGAAAGCATTATATCTTACGCTCAAACTTATCTTCATTCTTTAAAAAATGTTACGCGTTCAGATGTTACGTTTGTGGGTATACACGTCAGGCGAACCGATTACTGTAAGTGGTTACAAAACTATTACGGAAGACAAGTAAACATGATGTACTTCAAGCAAGCCATAGAATATTTTCAACTGAAGTACAGCAGAGTGATTTTTGTGGTCGTAAGTGACGATAGAGGATGGTGTAAAAGAAAATTAGGTATTTGGCCCAACGTGTTCGTGGCACCGGAGCAAACCGATAGTGCCCACGATATGGCTCTTATGTCTCAGTGTAATCATACCATTATGACTTACGGTTCGTTTGGGTTTTGGTGCTCTTATTTAGCTGGTGGAGAAACGATTTATTTTGATGAATACATAGCCCCGAATTCGTCGTTTTTAATCGAACATTTGCCATTTAACGAAACTTTTCTTCCTAACTGGATTGGGATATCAGCTAAAACAGATAATTTTTGGAAAGAATTTGAGACTAATGGCAATTGCAATGAATAAATTATCCTAAATATAAATTGTAACTGCTCTTTTAGAAATTAAAGTTTGGAAGATTCGTGACAATTTGTTTTAATGACAAACTGTATCAATTCATATTTGAATTGTATATTTTAGTATGAAAACAAAAAAATCCGGCCTTCTCAGTTTTATTGTGCTAAGCCAAGATGTGTAGAAGAGTTAGTATTTTAAAGTTTCCAAGCACTTTCATTCCTCTAGTGGTCAAAATTGAAATACGTTTTTTCAACCTTTTCCCACCTGTGAACATAGGATGGCTGCCTTATCATGTTTGTTGTGGTCTTGGAGACTGGAGCCATCCCAAAAAATCTTTTCTGAACACAGAATCTACTGTTTGTCAGTTAAACAACTGCTAATACCTGTTTCATTTAAAAATTCAACTTAAATGAACAATCTAGAATTTTTTCTTTTGTATATTCTTCAGCAAGTCATTTCACAAAAAATCAATCTCTGAAATTGTCTCATTCTTACATGTACTTTTAGATATAGCCCAAAGGCCAATTTATACATTTGTATTAACTGTTTATTAATTAAATTCTGTATTTTTAATCTGCAGATTTTTCAATTACATAAAAACCTTAAAATACAGCGATACCTTCGGTTTTCGTTGATAATCCGTCCAAAAACAATTGGCAAAATCCAAGGCAATTATTTCCATATGAGTCAATTTAAATCCAATTAATTTGTTCTAGACACTCCAAAATACAGATCAAAAACACATTATAGACAATAAATACAGTGTTTAATACTAAAAAACAATAAGAAATGAATATAAAATGAATATAAAAGAATAATGTAAAGAATAAATGAACAGACTATAAATGTATGTCTCTTTAATCCAAAAATTAATATCAGTAGACTAAAATTATATAGGTGAAACTAGTAGAACTTTAGAATTAAGAAACACGAAGCAGCAATAAGATTAAAATATAATAATTCTCTGTGGTTCAACCATATAAGAAATAGTAATTGTCAAATAGATAGAAATAACATAACAATAATTCATTCAGAAAAAGATATGTATATATGTAAATTTAAAGAACATATTGAAATTATAAAATTTAAAGATGATAATTTAATCAATATATCAAATGGCATGCAAATAGATCAACAGTGCTACAATATGATAGAGGGCACTAAAGGAAAAAAGTGATTGTAATGTATTTGTCATGCACATTGTTGTATTAGAAAATGAATGGAAATATATTGTGAAATTATGTATGTATTCTTTTGAAAATGATTTTATTACTATTGAACTGCATGTAATTAACCTGTAAAACTATTATAATTACAGTTACTGCAACGTTATGTTGTAGAAAATACACATTCTTTGAAAGTTGTACTTATACAAGATTTTATGAGCATGTTGAAAAAAATAAAAGTGGGTATGTATCGTATTATATTATTATTTTATTGGAATATGTGATATTATGGAGAGAAAAATTATAAAAATATTAGGTTTTCCATATAAATGTTTGGAAAGTTTATTTTTGGTGTTTTTAACAGCTGTATTAAAAAATCTTTCCAATGTTACCTGTTATACACCATGGTTTTAGAAGACAAAACCAGCTACCATAAGCGATATTTAGAATAAATGAACATTTAACATGGCATTCAAAGGGCTACTGGCTATGAAAACTTTCTTTGGTTCCATGATGGAGCTAAAATGAAAGGATAGCAGTGCAATTCTTTGGCTTTTTTTTTAAAACTATCTGCCCTGTGGGCACTAAGAGGAAATCTTTTTAGCAAGCCCATTATAGGTTTGGCCAAGCCCACAATGGGGCAGTCGGGTGGAGAGGAACAGGCCCAACATATCCGGATGGACCACTTTCCGAAAAATTCCTACGGATATTTTCCCCTTCCACAGTCGATCTTGGGACCCCCAGAGTAGTAGGCGGCCATAGAGCAGTTGTTTAGCTAGACATGCAGAGTAATGCTCACACTACAAGAAACAATGCTAAACTGAGCAGGAAAATGCATGGGTCTCCCTTTGTTTTTGAAAATTTGCAGTGAGTCACATGGGCACACAAACAAAATCTGAGGCAAATTTTTTGTGAAAAAAATAGACGAAAACTGAAATCGATGATAACCAAAGTCAACAAAAACCAAGGTATTACTGTATATTTTGATTCAGATTTTTAAAAAATGTAATGAGTATGTTTTGATATTACTCAACGTATATAAATTGAAAATTACCATAATAAAACATCAACATTTTATCATTCTGTATTATGATTTACAATGGTCAGAACAATCATATTTAATTTAATAAAATTTTATCAGAATGGCAATTTTCATATAAAGTGACCATTACTATACAACCGTAAAGAAATTATATGAATTAAGGTTAAAAACTGTTCTATGTTAATTTCCTGTTTTTGAAAATCTTTTATCATATAGAAAAGCATGCTTCTATCATAATTTATCAGATGTCTGCCCAAAGTTATAACTAGCTATAAAATATATAATTACGATTAAACGTTTAACATATATAATTACAAAACATTTTTTAAATTAGGATACTTATGGTATCTTGTAATTTTCTGCATTCTTAATTGATAACTTTATATTATATGCACATGCACATACTACACATATTCTATATGTGATATTAGGATTTAAAAAAGATGTAATAATTCAAAAACAGTTAGTCTAATTTCTAAAAACAGCTTTTATTTCAACAATTATGAAATGAAGATTTTATAAAATCTTCATATTATTATTTAGTTAAAGAAATCAAACCTTATTAAATATCTTAAAAAATGACAAAATGTAGCATATAAAAAATAGCCATTCAAATAAAACTTTATCTATTTGTGCAATTATTGGTGCTGAGCAGACTACTCTTCCTGAAGATCATCTTCTTCAAATTCGCCCTCGTCGTCAGCAGTAGCTTCTTGATATTGCTGGTATTCAAATACTAAGTCATTCATGTTTGATTCGGCCTCTGTAAATTCCATCTCGTCCATACCTTCACCTGTATACCAATGTAAAAAGGCTTTTCGACGAAACATAGCTGGAAGAAACACATTTTAAGTTATACATTAAAATGAATACTTTCTTTTTATAATACACAATAAATTGAAGCATAAAAATTAACATTAAAAATCTTATTATATAAAGTATAACCGTTCCTTTTAATACAATTACTTTAACTTTTTTAATGGAGAATGTTCATTGGAGAGCACATTTATGTGCATTGTTGTTTGTGATGTTGCACTTATTTGAAAAAAACTATTAGAGCAATCCTAAAAAGTTGAGTTTATCTCAATAGTTTTCATCAACTGGGGTGCCACAACAGCATTATGGAGTATCTCAGAGTAGTGCTGAGCAGCCCATAACACTTCTTATATATATTATTAAAAATAATAAAAGCACAACAGCTCTAAATTAATAAAGTAGGGATGTTGCAAGAAAAAAAAATATTACTAAGGTGGGATGTCCCTATTAGAAAATGGTTGAAAAAAAGCACTGACCTATCTATTTGTAGAATTTCTCAATATAAATGAAGTAGTATAACATTCTATTATTAATTATGATTAATGGGATCATTTAAAAAAAAAAAACCCAATTGAAATTTATCTGTAGATACATTTCAATACAAAAACTGTTCTGAAGGTAAGTACAGTAATTTTTTAAACATGTAAGCATATCATTTGTTTAACATAGAAATATAACAATTTTTTCTACAGTTTTTATAATGATTTTTAAAAACTTTTGATTAAAAAATTTTTTTAGTATGAGAAAAATTTGAGTAATTTTTCTGGATCTCCTATATAATACAAGGGTAGGCTGAAAAGTAATGCACATATGCTTGTAGAGTGCGAATGAAATGATTTTCAGAAGCGTGCCAGGTGGCATATGGAAGTAGCATTCCCCCTCTATGCATATGTGCAGTTTGAAGTTGTTGCGTTCATTCAGTATACTTTGAGAAGCGGAAATATGGAGACGTGTTCTAGTGCTATGTCAACGCGAGTTAAACAGCGTGCTGTTATCGAATTTTTAACTGCTGAAAAAATGACTCCTACCGCAATTCATTGTCATTTAAAGGCTTTTTATGGTGACAATGCTGTTGATAGGTCTACTGTAAATCGATGGATAATAAAATTTTGTTGTTGCGAGCCTGGAAAAGCCATAATTGTTGATGAAACATGCAGCGGATGTCCAATCACTGCCACAGACGATTACCGTTGCCCCTTGTTGCAATGTTTAATTCTTCTCAGTACATACAAACTCTAAAACACCTCCGACATTGAGTTTGTCATGTTAGAGGCAGCCCGGTGCAAATAATCTTGCAACATGACAACGCTCGTCCACATACCTCGCATGCAACTGGAGAGGCTCTGCGAAACCTGAAGTTTGAACCGATTCCACACCCTCATTCCCCCAATCTTGCACCTTGCGATTTTTATTTTTTTCCTCGACTCAAGAGAGACCTCAAGGGTGATCATTACACCTCAAACGATGAGGTGAAGGCAGCTGTCAAGTCCTGGATTCGAAAAAACTCGGAATGAAAAAACTTGTTACACATTGGGAGAAATGCGTTAGCCTTAACGGTGACTACGTTGAAAAATAAATATATGATTTTGAAGCTTAAAAATTGTACTTTAATGTACTTTTTGCCTGATCTTCCTATTTGTTTTTGTTTGCGTTCTACAAGCATGTGTGCATTACTTTTCAGCCTACCCATGTATATTAATTAATTAAAGAATAAATTAATTTTTCTATTGTAATACATTAGAGCATTGTTTATCCAAATCAATTGGGGACTGGGGTTGTTCAGATAACTGATTATGTATGAAAAAATATATTAACCTATCCCATTGTTGAAATTTTTCTGTTTTCTCCGTCAATGTTAAGCCTAACGTAAACTTTTAAAAATAACCGTGGCTATTGTATCGTCGAAAATTATTCTTTATTTTGTACAAACAAAATAAATATATTGAAAAATATAAAAACAAAATTATATTTTGGAAGTTAATCTAGTATCAAAAACGTTCGATTCAGCACGACACAGTCTAGAGTGGAACGCTTTCGGTTAACTGACGTTTCGGATAAACGACTCTCTACCATACTTGTTCTTCAATCCTAATTATTACATTGTAGTGTGGTGTTTCACTCCTATTTAATAAATTTTTGTTTTTATATATCGATAATTCAACTTCTACTCAATTACCATTTTAAACTGAAATTCTGATACTATCCATCATGTCTATATATTATGCTCAAAAGAAATTGGCTTTTCATGACTGGCTTTGTTCCAAACCCTTAAGAAACAAATAACACCTGAACTTAAATTTACCTCACTGAAGTGATTGTTAAATTTATTTAACAACCTAAGGCAAAAATACATTCCAGGTGCAAAGTCAAGAAACTCATCTAACAATATATTTCATGTGTTAAAATTCTTGTTTATGTTTAAACAAGTATTTGATGCACTTAAACTTAAAATACAATGCTCAAACTTGTTTTGGTGTTATATATCTTAATTAATTTAGAAGATTCTGGAAGGAAAGAATTGGCACAAAGCAGGACTCAAACCCCACAACTCCTGCTTACTGTGCAGTTATGTTGCCAGTTATGCATTTACAATAGTTATCATTTTAGAATTTTATTGTAAAAGAATAAAATTAATACAAATTCTATAATAATATTAAACTTTACATCTACTGTCCTGTTATGACAATATGGGTGTTAATGTATAAACACAGTATCAAATTACTACTGCTGAAAAGCCTAAAAGACCCATGATGATGATGATGCTGATGACTGTATCAAAGCTCAAGATGGACTCTCCCTTATGTAATAAACAATGTGTTTAGTCTCCAATATCCATATCTAGGAATATGCAATGTGTTATCTTATGCAAGTTCATGGACACCACCACTTTCCACATACAACTGCATGCCCACCAGATAAAATAACGTAGGAGTGAAGCATCATATTACAACATTCGTCATTTGTTAAATTAACATTAATGCTTAAAGTAAAGAATTTTTGGTATTATTCGTAAAATTATTAGCATTATTATTTTGCATTCGAAACTATTATGAAATTAAAAACGAAAATCCTAATCAGTCTTATAATTTTTGAACTTTTAAAAAGAATATACCAAAAACACGCACGAGACTATTACACCCTACATGATGTTGAGACAGATTATAATCCAAATAAAATCAAAAAGGTTAAAGCATTTAAAATGAGATAATGCATTTGAAATATGATGATGATGGTTTGGTTGGAGTTGATGGATTTGATTTTATGGCTCGAGGTCGGAGTACTAAGGTTAATTATGTGACAAACAGGTTATGAAATATATTAATGGATGTTTGAGGATAATCTTTTCTTTTGAACTAAAAAAAAATGCAAGGAATTACATACAAGGAATGGAAAATAAATCAAGAACTGTCAATGTAAATGAAGAAAGAATAACATTTCCATAAATCAGAACCAAACAATTTAAATACATCTGGAAATGAAGTCTTGTTTGGGGTCCAGGTGGCAAGCAGAGGTTGTGGGTTCAAGCCCTGCTCTGGATCATTTCTTTTATTCCAGATGATTCTGATTTATTAAAATTACAATTATTAATTTTGTTAAGAGATGGCACCAAATGTCTACCTCTAGTAGCAAATTACCATATTTACTTGCATATGAGATTTTTATCCATTTTTCACTGGTTCAAAAACCTAGGTTGTCCTATACATTCGAGTAAAGGATTTTTTTCATTTTTGTATAACTTTTGTGAGGTGTATAAGGTGAGAATCCAGTAAAAAATGTGAATACTGTACATGGTTTATGTATTCACAGTTTTTACTGGATTATCACCTTCTGACATTTAAAAACAAAAGTATTTTATCTAGATCCTGTTTATTGTCAGGAGTAAAGATGAATAGCAAAGCTTTTGAATTGAATTCCACAATTATATGGGAGCTTGATATAAGTTTCAAATCATTCCAATGTGAAAACAGATGATTATTCAGAAATCAGAATTCGAAGAATCTCATAAGCGTAATCGACAAGAGTGAATTCAACTGTTAAGAATTGGCAAAAAAGGTTCCCCATTATCCAGCTTTACATGAACATATTATTGGTTGTCGATTTTACAAGATTTTTCCTTGAAGTTTAAAATGCCAGTAAATTTTGCGGGAAAATGTGTGCATTTATATATTTATTTATTAAACGAAATAAAATTAGAATTTTATTAATATAATTCTAATTTTCTAAAATATCACACATTATTGGAATGATTTTGTAAAGCTTTAGAAGACACATACTTTACAAATTACAATATCTTAATAATTTACTTATCCTGAGTGCAATGACAAAAAAGGGGGGGGAATGATCAAAACCAATTTATTGAATGGGGAAAAGACTTTTTGATTTTTAAAGGAATTTGTAAGAAGAAATTTTAATTAAATGTATTTTAAGCATTTAGATTTTTTTTTTTTATTAATTGTAATAATTTGTCCCCTTGCTTGTATTTCTTGATGTATGTAAATGGAAATTCATTGTAAAATAAGAATGAATAATTGTACCAAAACTTTTAGAAATTTTGTGATGTATTAATTTTAAAATTAAAAAAACATTGTACAGATGTTGGTTCACAACCAGAGGTCAAGTTGGTTGGATTGCCATGCATTATTTTTTGGTCTTTAAAATTAAAGCAATGGTCCTTTTTTTTGGCAGATTTAAATATCTCCAATGCTTCAAGTATCCTGATGGAATCAATGTTTTCTTCTCTTGATGATGGAAGCTTTGTAGATTAAAATTTTTAGATTGAAAGTGTTAATCCAAAAGTTTTATTTTGAATTATATCTTGCTGGAATATGATTAAGGCTCTTTGACAGATGTGTTTATCAAAATAAACTATATGTATATATTAATTATATTTTAAATATGTATTATTTTAGTTCACGGTTGGGATTTCCGACGCTTTGTGTGCAATAAAGCCAAAGTGAAGCTTTTGGACAAATTAAATTTTACTTTAAAGAAAATCGAAGCAAATTTTTCTAATTATTCTGCTTGGCATTATTGAAGTTAATTATTACTTCTTATACAGGGTGTATCAGAATGACGTTNTATATATATATATATATACATACACGTACAATGTTTAAATTATCAAATGTTTGTCCTGTATATAATTATTTTCTCTTTCCACATATCAAATTCATAATATAAAAAGAATAAAACAAGATATAGAATTTCTTTTAGACTCCATAATAAAAAGAAATTTATCAAAGATTAATGCATTTAATTTAAAAATAAAAATGTTATAAACTTAATTTGTCAAAAAATTCTGTTATATATTCAATATATAAAAATTTTACATTTATATCTAAAAATAGGAACATTTGGAATTTTTAATTACAGTATATATACTATATTAATAAATTATATAGAAAATCACATGTGAAAGCATGAAATTAAAAAAAAAAAAAAAACAGTCAAAAGTAACATTAATGTCATTTGAATTTAATGAAGTATGAAGCTGGAAGAAATGAAGATCTAAATGTTAAGGTATAAAGTAAAATGGATACTTTCTTTTCACTTGATTTTACTAACCTAAACTAAAAATACAATATATTAGAACCTAAGATTTTTGGAAACCAGATATTTTGTAATCAAGAATTATTAATAGAATTCTTGACACACAGTTTAATTTTCAAAGTTTCTTTATCTACATAGTATGATTTTGAACACACTAAATTATTTATGATATTTTTAGGTAATTCTTCTACATTTAAAATTAGTAAATCTTCAATATATTGTCTTTATTTCATTCCATTTTTAATCCAGTTTATTTCTATAAAGATTCTTGATTTACATTAAACACACAAGTATAATTATCATACTTTTGTTCTATAGCTAACCAATTCAAAAAAGATGGATGAATATTATGTAACCTTTTACTATTACAGTCATAGACACAAAAAGTGATTGTAATTAAAGTATCCTTATTCAATGCTGCCTGGATATAAATTAACATTCCATATTCAACTAACACCGTGAAACCCAATATGTATATAGAAACACCACCANAAATCAGAACCAAACAATTTAAATAAAATATCTTTCAATGTCTGAGAATGTTGCAAGCTAAATTCATTTTGTTAATATAATAAACCCTCAATTTAACAGACAAAAATTTGTCCTACAGGAAAACTTTAAAACTTTCTTTATTCATGAATAGAGCATGCTAAAAGGTTGGGACAATAAGTCAATGAGTATAAATTACTCAATGTACAGCATCATATTTTATTCATACTTGTAAGTAAAGATAACATTTTTAAATAGCTTGAACATTTTAAGCTTGTTTTTACACATTTTTTAAAACACAAATTTAATGAACTTTCAGCAATAGTGGACACCCCTTTCACCCAATTACCCCATTCAATCAAGGGTTCACTGTATTTTATGAAACAATAGTATAACAAACTTTCTTGAGATGAAATAAATACAGACTAAGCAACATTAAAAATTTATCAAAATAACACCCTGTATTGAGATTTAAGTGTATGATGGATGATAATATAACCTTTAAATATGAGTACGTTTAAAAGTAAGAAATTAGAATTAAAAGATATTATTACTGTTGCGTAGTTTGCATTAAGATTAAATAAGTATAAATAAATTTGAAGTAATTTTAAAATTTACCTGTAAACTGTTCAGATATTCTCTTAAATAATTCTTGGATGGCAGTGCTATTTCCGATGAAAGTTGCAGACATCTTCAAACCACGAGGAGGAATATCACAAACAGCTGTTTTAACATTATTCGGAATCCATTCAACAAAATAGCTGCTATTTTTATTCTGTATATTCATCATCTGTTCATCAACTTCCTTCATACTCATTCGCCCACGGAATATAGCAGCAACAGTAAGATAACGACCATGACGTGGATCGCAGGCGGCCATCATGTTCTTGGCATCAAACATTTGCTGAGTCAAATCAGGAACACTCAGTGCTCTATATTGTTGACTTCCTCTAGAATTCAGAGGAGCAAATCCAGGCATAAAGAAATGTAGACGAGGAAATGGCACCATGTTAACAGCTAATTTCCGTAAATCTGCATTCAGTTGACCTGGAAATCTAAGACAAGTGGTTACACCTGACATTGTTGCAGATACAAGATGATTTAAATCTCCATACGTTGCAACACAGTGGGGCCAAATCCCAAAAAGCTGGCCAAAAGTCAAAAGCGTTATCAATTTGGCTGAAAGTCAGTATTCAAGGGTTTTCGGGATCACTGATTACAAATCCGAAGTCAAAATTTGAAATAAAAATAAAATGATGGATTTAACACGAACCACTTTTATAGAAAAAGTACAAAATAAATCCATATATTGTTTAATACGATAAAACATACAATCAGTTGATTAAAAGTTCATGCATCATCATCCAAAGAATAATTTGATTCACAATCAGATGATTCAACTTTGAAATCGCTGGAGTTTCCTGTACTTGCTGGTATACATGGTGCAACTAACAATAAAACTGCTTCTGGAAGCAATGACTTTGAGTTTTTTGAGGTAATTCGCACAAACTCGAAATAAACGGATCGGATATTAATAATAGGCGTAAAATAATGTCTTCCACTGTTTTCGCTCGGGAACTTTTCTTGCAAAATCTTCTCGAAACTTTTTAATGTATTTATTAGTAGACTCTTGAGCATCTTCAGACATCTGCCCTATCGGAAATACTGATGAATTTATCACTTCTGCACCATGAATCAATATCTTATGTGCCAAAGTTGGCATGCAGAACCACGGATATAACTGCACAAAGTAACGAGCTGTCTGTAAGGCATAATCTTGAAATTCTATGAAATCGATTTCATGGCCACTTGAAATTGTCTGCAATATGACATGGAAACGCTTAATCAAGTCCTCATCAACCCCTGTAATAGCAGCAGAAATGCTTGAGTTTTCAAAAAATTGTCGAGTGGTATTCTCATCATTCGAGCTATCGAAACCAGGCTTTGGTTGATCGACTATTAGACCCAATTCTATACGGAAACCCTTCTGTATATTCATTTTTCAGAATCTTATTTCTTTATTTTCTTTATCACTATGCACTTGTCACAGTTTGATTTCAAGCTTATATGCTACATGCAAACAATATTCAAAACACCAGACAAATTCAAGAAAAAGAGCGAAACATTCCGCGTCATTAATGTACAAAATTCAGAAAACTATGTTTTACATTGCAAGAACTCTCACCAATGACACAGTTGCAGCTAGTTTTAATTTTTTTCATTCAATAATAGTTCGATCTACAACATGCGATCGGTCCAGTCGCAGAACTCTACAGAATTTATGAACTTTTCTCCACATGTTTAAAATTTTCTGTTGTGATCTTCCGTTCATTTTCGTACAAATCATTCGTTTACTGTTATCACATAAAATGGTGGTGTTTCTATATACATATTGGGTTTCACAGTGTTAGTTGAATATGGAATGTTAATTTATATCCAGGCAGCATTGAATAAGGATACTTTAATTACAATCACTTTTTGTGTCTATGACTGTAATAGTAAAAGGTTACATAATATTCATTATTCATTCATCATATCATTCATTCATAATCATCTTTCATTCATTCATTCATCATATCATTCATTTATAATATTCATATCTTTCATAATATTCATTCATCTAAACACAAAATTGATTATTATCAATTTTGTGTTACATTATGATATTCTACTTACTTGCAGCTGCAAATTCCATTTTTTACATTTAAATTCGATTGATTTTTAGAGACTTGGCACCCTCTTGAATATAGCGTAGAAATCTTTGCTTACTGCATGACGCGTCCAGCTCGATTGAGGGTCCCCTTTCAACTAAACTACAATAGCAGGTATAAGGGATAGGGGGCGCTAAAGTCTAGAATTCGACCTTCGGACTCTTATCCAACCGAACCCACGACTAGAAANAATTACATAAAAAATCACATTTTAAAGCATGAAATTAAAAAAAAAGTCAAAAACAACATTAACTGTCATATATATAAAAAGCGATTGTAATTAAAGTATCCTTATTCAATGTTGTCTGGACAGAAATTAACATTCCATATTCAACCAACGTTGTGAAGTCTTATATGTAGATAGAAACATCACCAAATAATTTAAATAGTCTGGAAGTGAAGGCTTGCTTGTTGTCTGGGTGGCATAAATGGAGGTTGCAAGTTAAGCCCACCTCAAGTCAGTTTCTTCTTCCAGATGATTCTAAATTATTTAATAAATTATCAAAATTAGCAGAGTTATAGTCCAATTATTTAGATGATCGTTTGGTGATGTTTCTGCATTCAACCAAATTATTTTATGCTGTTGTTTCTGAACATGTAAAAAAATTTGTCACAGAAAATAATTCTACTTCAAAACTCACCACTATAAGACTTCGTGTTTCAAGCAGCAAAAAGAACCTCAGCACAATTTCTTAATGTGTCATAACCCAACATGCATTTACAGTGTTGACATTGTTATTAAAAAAATTTACTAGAAAAGTGCATTCAGACATGGTCACAACCATTGCTATTGATACAGTAATATGATTGGTATATCATAACTATGAGGAGTTTTTTCCAAGTTCTGATCTCCCATAATCACCATGAAGATTAAGGCATTTGTTGTATCTGTGGATGAGCTTTTCCATCCCCCCTTGTCATAGAATGTTGCCGTCAGTGGATTGAGATGGTCTTAACAACACTGTTTTGAAGATCATTAGCCTCAAACCTCTACCCTGCTAGCCACGTTTTCAGTTCAGGAAAGAGGTGGAAGTCTTCACACATTAAAAAGTTCCAAGCTGGGTGGAAGTCTTCACCAACCTTTAAAACACCCAGCATATAGCCCCAATTTGGCACTGAGCAACTTCCACCTCTTTCCTGAACTGAAGACGTGGCTAGGAGGGCAGAAGTTCGAGACTAATGAGATCTTCAAAACATTGTTAAGGTCACCTCAATTCACTGGTGGCAACATTCTATCACAAGGGGATGGAAAATCTCGTCCATGGTTACAACAAATGCCTCAATCTTCACAGTGATTATGTCGAAAAGTAACCATGTTTTACCTAACTCTTGGTAATAAATTCATTTTGTTACTTGCACTTGTTTTATGGACCACCGGAGCTTGAAAGAAAAACAAAACAACCAGCCTACATACCACAGGCAGTTTTAAACTCAAATTAACTATAGCACAAGTCAACTTTGCAAATGCTAAGCATTTTTTTCCAACTCACTCAACAGTTCCACATTTTGAAACTATATTTTTCCATATAAAAATTCTTCCACAAGTTCAGGAATGTTAGCATAGAAAATCTGGCTTAGTTTGAACTGCTATATATCCCAGACAGCATTGAATGAGGATACTTTAATTATAATCACCTGGTATATTCAGTATATTAGCAATAGTAACAAACTTTCAAAAAGATTTATGAATATGACATGCTAATAAACAAAAACATACATATTCTTTGTAATTTTTAATTATTAGATAATATAAAAAATTCAAATTCACTACTTATTTAAGAAAGGAAAAATTCCATAACTTGGAACAAAGGATATTTTTTTAAGCAAAAAAGTGGGAAATAAAACAGTTTTTAAATGTCAATGATATTTTTCTTCTGACTAAAATTCAAATCAAACACAATTTAAGAATTTATCACAGAATGCAACAAGACACACACATTATCTTATTTAGTGGCATTAAAGACAACTGTAAGCAATAAAAGAATTGAAACAGCAATCAATAAATTATACTTAAATCATCATAAATTAACTTATTTACATCAGGAAATCATAGTAAAACAGCTGTCAAAGAAATATGAGCGGAATGCCATGTACAGCTATCCCTTGTACAACACTGCAGTTAAATTTTAAAAAAAAGCAAGGGGTTTTGTGTAGTGGCAAATCCGCACTACACAAAACCCAGGGTTACATTTTATAAGTTAATGAAAATATACCATTCTTTTTTATTACTAAAAGAAATATGTTTATTAAAGCAATCAATACTTTATTTCCAATCAATAATTAACAAAAGTACTCTTAATATTAATTCTAGTTAAACGAGGATATTTTCTTTTTTCAAAGTGCAATCAATACTTTATTTCCAATCAATAATTAACAAAAGTACTCTTAATATTAATTCTAGTTAAACGAGGATATTTTCTTTTTTCAAAGTGCTGTCATCTTCTGAGCTTTTTTGTCGATCTTGATCAGAAATAATCACAATCTTCATTTTTTAAATTTATCGTAATTTTTTATGGATGACAAAATTAAATATGTTATTAATCAATTTGTTCTAGAGGTCATGTTTATTCAGTTGAGTACCAAGCAAATTTTTCCAGAATTTGTGCTCAAACACCAGACTATTCCAGTATTGAGATACTGCTGTATTTCATTCATTTTTATGAATGATTACTTACCTACAGTTAAAAAAAGTTTAACACCTAAAAATGCTTAAATAAATTTTACTAAATATGAAGATTAATCTATAAAAACAAAACACAGTGACAGTCTTAAGAGCTTAAGTCTGAAAGCAACAATAATGACATCCAGTTGATATGGAAAGCTAAGACAAGGAATAAAAAAAATTCTACAATCAGTTTTCATTAAAGTAAACATGACAAAAGGCACAAAACAAATTGAAAATTTCAATAGTCTAAAATCCGTGGGAAAATTTGAGATAACAACACATGCTTAATTGAATAAAAAAAAATATTGAACAACAAAGTTTACACTTAAAAACTGTGAAATTTTGTATGGAGGATCTTCAAAACAGTCATGTTGTATGGAGATATCCTCAATTTTCAAACTACATTGTATGAGGGATACCTGTACAGTATTTAATATACATTGGAAGATAACCCAGCCACCAATGAAGAAATTTATAATCAACATAAATTTCCAACATTGAAGGATGCAAACTTAGAAATAGAAAGCAAAGAAACAACTCTTTCTATACTTAAAAGATTGAATAATAGTTTATTAATCAATTATTGACTATTTTATATGTAAATATTTATATCCCAATAAATATCAACATTATCAAACATTTACTAGGAACAATAGTAAAAATATATTGTTTTATACCATGTAGATTAAAATTTTACTTGATAATGGTTTTTATGATAAAACAATATATATTTAAACGACTTCCAACCACTTAACACTGCATTGAATAATAACAATCCACAAAAAACCTTTTTTTACCAGTGTTACGTCACTTTTAAATTCCACAAGTACTTTCGACCTCCACCGAGGTCTGCTTCAGGTGGTGACTGGCCGTGTTTCGACCCGACTTTCGTGATGATGTTGCCAACGATGTAAATAAATAAATGTGCGCGTCAGGTTTCACCCCTCCGACCGACACTGTTCGAATTCCTCGAACAAGTACTTCCACACCTGTGCAAGCATTTCCCCATCCTTGTAGTTGATGCAGTTGCCCCCCCAATAGCTATCTGTCGTCCTGATGGGAATGGACGATTCGTTAGAGGTTGAGAAACACTGAATTAAATCAACGGTTCCCATCAGGTGGTTTGCAAATCCCTTTGAGTTAACAACAGTAATCCATGGGATTTGCAATAAGTCTGCAATATCAAATACTGCTAAATAGTGTTTAAAGAAAAATTGATAAATGTATTTAAATTTACAGGATTGTTTAGTTTTACATTATATTAAAAGTTCAAAAAGTTCCCGGAATGGGTTTATTACTCAAAAGTATGCGTACAATCGACAAATCAAGCAACATGTTCTTTGGCAACCACACACTTGCCTACGTTAATACAGCTGCTGAAAACTTTCTTGAAAGCAGTCTTGCGACAGTACCTGTAAGACGTCACACTCTGCATAACCTCATCTGCATTCTTGAAGTGGCATCCCTTGATGGCATCTTTCAACTGGGGAAAGAGGTAGAAATCACATGGCGCAAAATCTGGAGAGTATGCAGGATGCTCCAATGTAATCAAATCCATATGTTTGGTCAGGTGCTGCTTCAACAGCAATGACTTATGTGCAGAAACATTGTTGTGGAGAAGCATCCATGTGTTGTTTTCCCAATGACGGCAAGGTATATTTCCTTGTTGACTGTGCAATTCTTAGTATAAATTTGTAGTGAACAATCCCCTGGGAGTCAAAGACTTCCAATGTGACCTTTCCCTTACTCCTATCCTGCATGAATTTCATGGACCACGGTAAGGTGGGCAACTTCCATTCTGTGAACTGTTGTTTTGATTGAGGATTGTACAAGAAACACAAGGGCCATGGTTCAGTAATGCAGAACACCTAAAGTTAGAATTCTGAATGGCTTAGTGGGCAGAGCTAAGAATATTCTCAGCATCATTGAACAATTATTCTGTTAGACAACCGGGCAAAATGGTAGACGAAGTTAAAATTATGATTGCAACAATTGTCGCAAATGAATTAATGAAGCAATTATTAATTGTAATCAACGAAATGGACCATTATCTTCTGCTAAAATGTATTCGCAATCATACTGACGTATGATAATTTTACATTTCAAAGTCATTTTAGAATGAGAGAATAACTTTGTGATTGTCATAATAAAATACATTTAGTCCAACATGAACAGCCATCTTGCAAATTATACAAAGAGACAAAAACAATGACACCACTAGTAGAAGTTAGCATAGATAAAAGAAGCTGACTGAACTAGCTAAAATTCTAGCAGTGGGAGGAGTCAAGCAATAGTTAGAAATGAGTTCAACATCATAGCATTACTAGACTTAGCAAGAATTCTGCGTTACTAAACACGGCCCAGGTTTTGTCAGTTGTGATAATGTTGTCGAGAAATTCCAGGTTTTTATCGGCCAGTTCAATGAGATCTCCACACATCGTCTTGCAAGTCTCTCGTTGGTCTGCCACGAGCATTCATGGAATAGTGTGTTGGCTATTCCATGCATGTTCAATTGATCAGGCAGAATAAAATAACTTCCAACTGAAATTCCTGCTGCCTTGGCAATCTGCTTAATTGACTGCTGTCTATCTGACTTCACAATCTCGGTACAACCGACACTTTCTCCTCAGACAGTGATGTTGATGGATGACCACTTTGCAAATCATCAGTGATAGTTTCTTGTCTCTAGCAAATATTCCAGACGTTTAACTAAGACATACATTACATGTTTCCCTTTTCAATGCTTTCAATTGACTAAAGCCGGGACTCCACATTACCGGAATCCGTGACGTAATCGTAAAACTGAAAGCCAAACTGACGAAACTTTCAGTTTTGTAACGTTCAGTTGGACAGAAACAAGACTGAAAGCAGAGTTAAAAATTATTTAACTTTTCCGTTTTCGCCCCTTGCTTCTGTCATACTGCTACCAATAAAAGCGCAAGGATTTGTGACGCAGTCACATGTAGTTTGATTGTCGTAATGGCGGAAAGTGTAGCGAAAACGATGAGGAAACAAATAGATTTGGAATTCTTCATCGAAGAAGTTAGAAAATACACGTCTGTACGACAAAAAAATGTAAATAATTCAAAGATTATTAACAATTTATTTTCTCTGCATTTATTAACAATGAAATTGTTAATAAATGCAGAGAAAGCATGGCAAAATCCGTAGCGTCGTCTGTGTTTGACTCTACAACAATTACAGAACTGATCAACAGATGGCGCATTTCTAGTGGTGTCAACTTAAAACGAAAACTCTATATGTTTCAGTTCTGTTTCTGAGTTTCTGTTTTCAGGTAATGTGGAGTCCAGGCTTAACTCAGCATAATTCTGGGATATTTTTGAAGCTACCTTGTATATAAGGTGAATAATTATTTGTGTAAATAGAATCTGTGAAATAAACACTTTTCTACAATATACTTATTAACTCAAAGAAAAAAATCATTGAAACAAACTGGTAATTATTTCTGCAAATGGATACAAACCTTTTAAATCCCAATACAAATTTCTTAAAGAAAACCATTACTCAAATTACACAATAATATAAAATTTTTTTGTAGTAGAGCATCAATTATCTGAATTCCAATCAACCGAAATATTGGTTAACCGAAAGCGTTCCAATTGGCAAATTCAAATTTCTGCTAGTGCTGTGGCACTGCAGCACTCTCCCCCTCTCTGCCAACCTAAACTGTAGGCCTATTTTAATGTACTACTTTATGTAAGACATGTGACAAAATATATACAGTACAGTTTTAGGTTTAATATATTTTTTTTTGTAAATGATCAGTTATCCAAACAACCCCAGTCCCGAATTGTTTCAGATAATAGATACTCTACTGTATAAAGCCATGTAAGTAATTTAGAAAAGAAATTTTGTGTTGATAATGATGTGTCAGCAGCAGTCAGAAAATCATTTGTGCTTCTGACTGCTGCTGACACATCATCATCAACACAAAATTTCTCCTCTAAATTACTTACATGGCTTTATACTAGGAATCTCTTATTTATATAATTGATTGAATAAAAGAACTTAAGGCCAATAGTCAAATGCTCTATTCAAAAGGTTAGTACATTTGGAAATGTAAAACAATGATAAAATTTTTCTTGATAAGATCAAATTCATCTATCTACTCAGGAAGACAAATAGAATGTAGTTACTTATCTAGAAACTATTTCCTACTTTAAAATACATGCTCTTAGTTCTTTATGTTGAGCATGATTGTCTATTTGGACTTTCTTTTTAACTAGGACTTGTTAAGAGTTTTTAATTGAGTTTGTGTGGGTTCACTCCCTTTGAGTAACAAGTACTAATTAAAAAAGGAAGTCCAAGTACACAAATCATACTCTTTTTTCTATCTTATTTTCTTCTATAGTTAAATATTCAACTAAAACGAATCAATAAATTAATCTTAAAACTTTGAAACTAAAATGATAATTTTGAAAAACATTCATAAATTATGAATTAGCATCAATACTTGCAATTTTGTTCAATAATCTTTGCAATAAATTTAATTACACACACATTCATTGACAAAAAAGTTATGCACCAAGGTTTTGAAATCAATTGAAATTATTAGTCCGAATGTAATGAATGGTAATTGGGCTGCAATTTGAAAAAATTGTAGACCTATAAAATTCCCACAATACTGACTTGTATAGAGGAGAGATTTATTTCTTGTGGAAGAGTACCCTACATTTTAAAGAGCTTTACTTTGTAGGACCTTCTCTTGACTGGATACATATGACAATAGTTTGCATGTTTCCCAATGTATCCACTGCTCCAATAATCTGTCAGCTCAGAACAAATGGAAAATCCAGCCATTCTGCATCTGTCAACCCAATGACGTGGTCTTTCTTACTCTATCAACTGCGCATAATGTCTTTGACCAAATCATATAGGCATGTCTATCATTTGAAGACCTCCAAACAACAGCGATACTGAAAATTTTGGTGCCCACCAGTGGTAGAACAGATAAAAACATTGAACACTGGTAATTGGTCATGGGTTCATGCCTTGCCCATGGGTTGGCCTTGTAGAATTTTCCAAATTTTCTTCACAATACCTAAATAAGGGTGGTTTCCCAAAAAAAAATCTCCTGGAAGGAATTTCCCTCAGATCGCTCATTTCGTGTTGCCATATACGAATAAAACCAAACTGAAAATTTACATATAGTGAGCATGAATGTATTTATCATTATACTGGGCTAGCAATTTAAAGACATTACTTAGCATGCAATCAGACCAAAAATGTAATTATTTACACAATCATCTAAGACAGCCATATTTAGAGTTTTGCAGTAATTAGACAATTCTATACAACAGCCAAATGATTACTAGATTAAATCAGGCTACATGGTAGTTGTTTAGCTTTAAATATAATCACCAGGCTTACAGATATCTATATAAATTCTATATGAATACATAACATTTTTGCCAATGCACGTATTTTATTTATTTTTTCCTAACACCATTTTAAAGATAATTGTATACCTTCGGTGATGGAACTACACTAAAAGTATTCATAATCCTATCCGGATATTCTTCTCTGATTTTAGAAATAAGGAGAGTTCCCATTCCAGATCCCGTGCCTCCTCCGAGCGAGTGCGTCATCTGAAAACCCTGCAGACAATCACAACTCTCGGATTCCTTTCGCACAACGTCCAGCACGGAATCCACCAGCTCGGCACCTTCAGTATAGTGACCCTTTGCCCAATTGTTACCGGCACCACTTTGACCTGAAATCAATCACAAAGAAAATCATGTAAGATCATTTAATTAAATCCCATAAGACAATCCAAACATTTTTTTTTTTTTACCAAAGACAAAGTTGTCAGGCCTAAACAATTGCCCAAATGGGCCAGAGCGAACAGAATCCATAGTTCCGGGTTCCAAATCCACAAGAATAGCTCTCGGCACATATTTGCCTCCTGAAAGAACAAAATCAGAGTTTTTTTTCATATCTTCTCAACTCAATCAATTTATTAATTTATATTTATACAAACTGATAAACACCTGAAGCTTCATTGTAATAGACATTTATTCTTTCCAGCTGTAAATCAGATTCTCCATGGTAAGCGCCAGTTGAATCGATTCCATGTTCATCGGATATCACTTCCCAAAACTAATTTTAGAAATATTTTAAAAATTTTATAATTTATATAATAAATTACATTCAGCTGCATTGCAGATTGAAATCGGATCGATCGATCACGATATCGTCAACGGACATAAATGTTAAAGTATCAATTCCCTCGACCGAAAATTCACGTGTGACCTCCACCATAACGAAACCGATTCGAAATTTAAAATTTCCGATAATTCTTTTTTTAAACTTTAAATAAATAATTATTTTAGGAAAAATTAATATTTTATTTTGAAAAGTAGAGCAAAGCTATTAAATATTACACGACCATTTTTGGTTAAAGAATTTATTTAATCGTAACGAATTTAATTAAACTCGTTTAGACTTAAAAAAAAAAAAAAAGTAGGTGGCGACGTTATTCCTAAAGGAACGTGTAATTATAGGAGCGGCACATGGACGTCGTAGTTTATATTTTTAAGTGTAATTTATTAATTACATGAACATCCCGTATTAAGTATAATGGTTTAAGAAGGAAGAACGACGTTTATAACGGCTTTTTACAATTAAAATTAATTTTTTTTTTACACAGTTAAATATAAATTAAAAATTATTTACCTTAGCACCAATTTGGTTACCGCATTGGCCCGCTTGCAAATGAACGATTTCTCTCATTTTGGAAATAAAATCTTTTAAATTCAAAAAAAGGAACGTTGAAAACACTAACTTCGCTAAAACGAGAGGAAGAGCGAATGCGGAGGGAAGTCGAGTTCAAATTACCACTTTGCTCCTATTGATATAGCGCATGAAATTACCTTAATAAACCACTATTTCGTGATTACAAGTTTATTTAAAATTATAAAAACTCTTAAATTTGTCTTCTGAAAACGTAAGTTTATTTAATTTTAAATTTTTATACAGTTAATTAAGAAATATTATAGGAACTACTTTCCGGAAGTTGGAGTACTGATTACCCCCTCTAAAACCAATGGAATGTCTCTCTGTACGTTCCTCAAGGTCACGTGACTAATTCAAATTTCAAATCTTATCACGTGCCATCCATCTAGGTGGCATGCACGTGCTGTATAACAGGGAAGTGACATTAATTTAGGAATTAAAAAAATTATATATATATATTTTTTAATAATTTAATTATTATTACAGATTTATTATACTATATTTTATAGATGTTTTTAAATTTTGAAAATATAATTGGAAATTTTATATATTAAATTTGTAAACTAACAAAATAAAAAATACAGTCTGTCCGTTTGTTTGCTCGTTGATTCGAACCACACCTTTCCAGAATTACTTTCTAGGATCGGGGTTAAGATATGCAAAATAAGTTAAACAAGCTTCAGCGTAGGGCCTCACATTTTTACATGAGGTGAAGGGCCTGTTACGTGTTATCTTCTTGACACTTTGTGATAATTTAAGTTTATTACAATATTATAAGCATTAAGTAATAATTAATGAAGACGTCACACAGTCCATGAATCATATTCTTAGTAACGATTGATGGAGTACTCTATTGGATTTGGAGGTTGGCCTAAAATGGTCTAACTTTTGGTTTTTATTTGGACTAAAATAACCAAACTTTTTAATATGGTTTTTAATTTTTAATTTAGTGTTTTGTCTTCGTTACTTTTTGCTCTCATATCTGCTAGTATGAGACATTTTTAATCCATTTTTCTCATTCTTCTGAAATATTAATGCATAATTCTGATTGGAATCATCTATTTTTAATGAGAAAAAAATATCTTTCTAACAGAAGAATATGAATAGTTTTAAAAAAGTAAATAAATAAAATATATCTGATTTATTTGTCTAATTATGTATATAGTCCTATATAGTAATGAATGGTAATTGNAAACGCATGTTTTATTAAAACATATGATTTCACCACTCTAAATATAGAAATTACTGATTGGAATTTAGATAAAATTAATGTAAAAGTAAAGCAGTAAGTTTTTACAATATATAAATGTATGATTATTATCATAAAGATAAAAATATATATCAAAATTAATGTTACCAATTATTCAAAGGCCTACTCATTGATTTTATTTTTAGACATTAAAAATCACCTTAGTAGGCTTTATTTTTATGAAATTTCATATCTAAATTATTAGTAGATGAAATAATAATGATAAATTTATATTTTTCTTTGTGTTTTATTAATATATAAGTAATCTGTGTACACAAAAATATATATAAAAAAATGTTTAATATACAGTTTATGAAGACTATTTCAAAATTACAAAACAAATAAAATTATATAACAAAATTAAAATAAAATAATAAATACATTGTTGATTAATCTTAATTTTAAAATTTATTTTTCTAAGTAAAAGTATAAATATTATTTAATAATTTGAGATATTATTATTATTATTTTAATGCATGTTATAAGTTAGTTTATAGTGTGTAAGTCTATATTATTGTAATTTTAAATTTTTTGCGATGAAATTTTTATATGTAAACTGAAGAAGTAAATGTGCTAAACAGTTCAAGAATATAATCTCTAACGGAAGTTTAAAATTACTTAAATTTTTTATAAATAAAGATAAAGGAATTTTAAAATCTTATACCTAATTTCAGTCTTATATTGTTGAATTTTATGAATAAAATGTTTAAAATTTAAACTGTTTCATCAATGGATAGATTATTGAATGAAAAATGTTTAAAAATCTTAATAATTTCACTTTTAAAATTTCTTTACATTTATACACCACATTTTCGTCATTACAATGGACAATGAAAATGTTGCTAATATATTATTATAATAACAAATGCGGAAGTGATTAAGCAAAATGATTTAACTAATGATTCCCTCTCATTACCCGACCATCCCCATTGTCTGTGTGTGTGGGGGTCTTCCCATCTAGTTTGATGTGGAGACCCCCACCACCCATCATAGGTAAATCAACCCGTGATGGGCATGAAGAAAAAGGGTTTTCTTAGTGCTCAAACCTACTGTATTGTATTGTTTATGTTCCAAAATAAATACATTTTATTTTTTAGATACGTTGATGTAAAATATAATAGAAAATCTTCGTATACCATTCTGGGAATCTAGGAAGACGTAAAATCCCTGGAATTTTTCGGGTGTTTGTTCTGGATATGTCAGTTTCCGTTCTTCGCCACCCAGTCGGCCCACTGTGGATTTGACGAAACCCACAATGAACCTTAAAAAAGGGGGTTAAGGTGTCAGCCTGCTGCTCTAGAGAACCCGGAGGAATAGGCTGGACTTCATCCCTCTCGGCCATCCAGCCGGCTACACTTTCATACATAAGACCATTTCTAGTTGTAATTTTCAAATTATAATCTGAATTCATAATCTTCTATGTTGATTTTGCAGAGAAAAAATGAGATAAGATTTCGTGTCAGTAGTTAAATAGTAGACGACCTATTCACTTCCCCATTTTACAATCGTAATGCATTCCCGTAGACGTGAAATTGGGGACAAAATTATCATTAATTTGAATAGAATAAGTCGCGATGCGTTGGCGAGTCTAATAATATCGCCCATTTCCACCCAAATATGTTAAAATATCACACAGTGGCAAAGTTATTTCAGTAATTAGAACCAATTATCATAACGCTATCTAATAAAGCAGTATAGTATTTTAGTATATTTGAAATAAGATTTGTTATAATTCAAATATTATATACTTTACTTTGAGAGAGGATGATTAATAATTTATTACGGTCGTTTATAAAATACAATGTGCTCTTGAATATTTCATCATGCATTATACAAGGAAACTAATGCGTGAGAACATGAAAATAATTTTTAAAAAGTATTAATTTGTAACATAAAAAAAAAATCGGTGTCACACGAAAGGCGAGGAAAAAGTGGTAAGCAATATCGAAGCAGTCACTGTTAATTTATACTTGTGTTGGATGTGGTAAAGAATAGCAATCGAAGTACGGGTCTGGAAACAGGAATTATGTGCATAGCTCTGAGTAAGGAGGAACGAATTCAAGTTATTTTATTGGTAGGAACCCGCAGTTAGCGAGAAGTTGCCACAGTTTAACAAGTTGCATCCGGATGGCTGGATGCAACTTGTTAAACTGTGGCAACTTCTCGCTAACTGCGGGTTCCTACCAATAAAATAACTTGAATTCGTTCCTCAGTGTTATGGGAACCATCCTTGCTAAGTTACTAAACCTGTAATAGAATAAACATGGATCAATCTAACTCCTGCGGTTCCAAAGCTATGGGATGCCCTGTAAAAAAGTCTGTTTTTTCCCTCTCTTTTTATAGAATTCTAGACTTAAAAATTAATTTTATAAATATAATCTGATTCTAAAACTCTTCTAAAAATATTACTTTAAAATAACTTTGGAGAAACATTTGAAGACAAAAGAAATAAATCAAATATTAAGAAGCGCGACATACATCTTTTATAACATCGAAAGGAGCCATTAATCATCCGTATATAGAAAATTTAGTCATATAATTGGATTCATTATTGATTACTTTATTATTTTAAATGATAATTGAAACGTTAATCTATAATAATTGTATAAATAATACTCTGAATGGATGATGGACAATGATCTTTATAAAATATTCGTATGTAAGCTAACAGAATCGATGTAAGAAAAGTTTAATTCTAAAATTATAATTTAAACTTTATAGTATAATTTAGAAAAGAACTGATAAAGATGATCCATTTAAATTGCTGATAATTAGTTATAAATCATTTGCATATAATAGAAAGGTGGGTTATATTTTTAATAACCAAACTAATCGACTTAAATTGATAAAGACCATTGACTCCAGGAAAAATACCTAGCCCTTATTGCAAGAAATACTATTTGTTGGCCATATTATAAAGTTCAAAGTCGTTTTTTCCAAGAATAGGAGCCCACTTTATGACACTGAGTCTAACCAGGGAAGGGCCAAGTGTCCTCGTTACCTTTGTAAATAAATACGGAAAAAATCAAATAAGTGCAGGAAAAAAGATTTGATTGTGGTAAACTCACTTATACATATGTATATACGATATATAAGAGTTTATACTTTATCTACAACGCTGGTGTACAGGATGATTGTGGGTTTGCACGTTCTAATTCGAGCCCGATAATATTGATTCTAGTTACTCTAATGGAATCAAATGGGGAATTAAGAGTTCGATTTACGACGTCTCGCTTAACGACCTTTTTCTAGGTATCAATTAAGACGTAAAAGCGGGGGATCTGCTGTATTATTATTTTAAGGATATAGTTCATGTACTGTACGTAAAATGTTTTCAGTCCGGCCATTATTAATCTCATCCTGTTAACACAAATACATGTTCTGTCCTATATCCTGTAAACTATTTCGTGACAAGCAATTACTTATTCGTATTTGGCAAGATACGGCCTTAATAAATGCGTTTTATCTGACATATATAGACTTATATGTATATGTTTANTGCCATATTGTGAAATCCATTTGCACTCGAGAATGAAACCAGTTGCAATGCATCGGGTTTCAGTATAGATGTTTATATAGAAATGAGACGTTAGATCGTGACGTGAAAAGAAATGTTTGCGAAGTCGAAACTGGTTCGAAGGTTCTCATATTTCTTTTCATTAGGCATATATTATTACTTTCATACGATTCTTTCCTTAATTAATTAATTGATGCTGTAAATAATGACAGACAAATTAATTTGTAATTAAATTTACTCGATTAATTACAATACATTGTTATAATTATTCTCACATGACACACTTTAAATCTGTAAAAATAGCCTTTTGTCAATTGACTAACTGCTTTAATTGTAGATTTAAAATGAATATATTAGAATTAAAGTCTGTCTTAAACTTAGTAATTGTGAGGCCGAGACCTCACCCCAAACAACGATCATCTTTTTGTTCTCGTCGTGGCCGTTGTTCAGAAGTTTGACTGTATATAAAAATAATTTTCCATCTTCCATTTAACAATTAGAAAAAAGCTAACGAAAAACAGCACTCTCACTGTCAAAATCCTGGATACGTCACTGGTCCTTTTAAGATTATTTTCATATCAAATCAGATCAAAAAGTGGAATGAAATAGATAAGAATATTTTAAAATAAAATGAAGAATTAAATATTTTAGAAAGCACGTAAAATATATTTTATTTTATTTTAAACTCTTCCTTCTTGAGAGTATTGCGAGGGCCTTTATCCATGCCTATCGCGAATTCAACCAGGTTCGTAACGGAGGTGACCGGATGGTGAGGGACGGGGCCTCATATCCGGATCAATCCATTCATAAAAATTTCTGAATCGATCCGAACACGAACCCAATTCATCGGAACAATATTGCAACTGGTAACTTTATCGTCTCGACCATCCGGTTGTCGCAATGAATAGCTCGGTTTGCATGACTGCATCTTGGTCCTATTTAATTGGGTTTTCGTATGAAAAGAATTTGTCGGACAGATGGCCGTGCAGGTGAGATGTCTGCCTATAACTGTAAGAGATTCGGATTCGAATCCGTTCAGATCTCCATAATTTAAGCTATTATGGATATTATATAAATTGCAGCATTGTTTCCCATTCCTCATCCATGATGGTAGGTCTTATTGCGGGCAGGTCTACCTGTAATTAATATGATTATGGTTAGTCGATTAATCTGCAATGTGCTGTTATTTTGCGTTTACCAATTAATTAGTTAAAAGAATTCTTTTTTTCTCAGAATATTTCAAGAAATATTTAAGGTAACAATCGAATGACGAGGCAGTCAGGTGGACCCGAAATTGAATTCCTAGGAATTTTCATGGGCGATATGTCTCGGATTTATCGGGCCCCGTTTCTCATTACCTGGCCTCCTCCATTTGGGCTAGTGCTCATAGAGTTAATTAGAAATGCGAAAAATATATATTTAAGATGAAATTTCCTACTTGTGCCCACCAGTGGTCGAGTGGATAAAACCACTCAACACTGGTAGTCGGTCGTGGTTTCACGCCTCACCAACGGGCTGGCCAAGTGGAGTTTTTCGGGTTTTCTTCACATTAGTAACACCTAAACAGGGACCAGTTTCCCGTAAAAGATCTCCTATGAGGTATTCCTCCTTGGAAGATTGCCCATGTGTCGCGTTGCCGTGTACGAACAAACCAAACCTACTTCCTGTTTTATCAATACAGTAGTTACAAAGCTAGATACATTTTCTTATTAAATATAAAACTTTGAGATAAAAAATAAATTTCTGTATGCACAAAACTTCAGAATAGGGAATCAATCCTTCAGTCAGTCTGGCCTGATTTTGAGTCCGGGTTGAATTCTCAGAAATTTCACGAGTACTTTGACCCAGATATGTCGGATCTTGCTCTCATTATCCAATTCTACACAATGGACACGAAAACAAAGGTCACATTATGTCCTCTTCTTTTAGGAACGACTAAAGAGAAGAAAGTTAAAAAAAAAAAAATCTAGAAAATTTTCTTGTAATCATCTATACATAATCTATATTTATTTTATTTGATTTCTCGAATAATAGCCATTTTTATTTTACTCCTCCCGCTCATGGGCACTAAGAAGGCTTTTTAATTAATCAAGCCCATCGTGGATTCGGCCAGTTCCACTGCAATGGAACAGCTTGGGTACAATAGCGTACCTATAACTGATATTAGGTATTGCATATCTTCCCTTGTATCACTGTAGATGAAGTGTAAAATCTTAGATACCGTAACATATACGTGTGTATAAGTGGATTTGTCGCATTCAACTCTTTTACCTATACTTATTTGATTATTTATTTATTAATTTACAGAGGTAAAGGAAATAGGCTCCATAGGTCAATCTGATTATGTTACTAGCTGGATGGTAAGGGATAGAATCCGACATATTCCCAAAGAAATAAGCTAGCACCTTAACCATTCGGCCATTCTAATAATAGGATATTTAGTTGAATCTCTTATATTTGGCATCATTTTGAAATAATGTATTTTACGGATGAGATAAATATCAGAAATCTCATTCGATAAATTAAATTTAGTATTACTTTCATTGCAATTTCTTCAAGATATCAAATGAAACTGTTTTGCTTTATTGAAGTGTATTCTGAAGAAGAAAATTTGTCACCATTTTCATATTGTAAGATTACTCATAAATCTTATTTAAAATTTGATTTTAAAGTAATTTATCTATTTATATTCCATTTATTTTAATTAAAACAATGATGTCCAAACAATGAAATCTGAAATTGTTGAGAATTCTTATCGCAATGATGAAATAATACTACCGAACTATGAATTCCAATATTCCTACCATCGTCTATCCTCAAGCAATCGCAACATTTTCAATCGTTGCCATGGCAGGATATCAAAGTGTCAAAAATTTAATTTGTGAGATATATTTAATATTAAAACATAAATTTATATATAAAATAATAATTTTCATAAAATATAACGGATGTTTTTATTTTTGACTCTTTCTAACCCATGGTCACTAAGAGGATCTTTTATTCCATACTCAAGTGGTTCCGCCAGACCAACACTAGGAAGCGATTGGGGTTTTTTTAAAAACTCTTTTCGCCTTGTGGGCAATAAAAGGGCCTTTTTAACAAGCCCATTGTGAATTCGGCCATATGGGCTTGCTAAATTAATATGTATATAAATTAATTAGAAGAATTTTTCATCGTTTGAATTCATTTTTTTTACAGATAATAAAAGACGCATTTCTTCAATTAAATCAATTCAAAAATGGATTCGGGAACATTACAATACAAATACGCAAGATGAGGTAAAAAACTTATGATAATTATTATAAAATTTAAACTATAAATTATATTTTTATTATGTTTGTAAATATTTTAATAGTCGGTAACAGATACAAATATTCAAAAACATTGTCTTCATCAGAATATTCAGAGATACGAATCAAAAATATCACAACATAGAATGAAAGTATATGGAATTTTTTTTAAAAAAATATTTTAATTGGTTTTCTTTATTTAAATAAAATTAAATAACGTAAAAAGCTATCTTTGTTTTTATTTTAATTAAGGAAATTTCAGCTTTATTGATTCAAATTTGGTGGAAAACTAAATATACTAACAAACAGATTATGCAAATTATGAAGTATGTTGAAAGCCAACGAAATTCTATAATTTCTTCAAATATCTTAAAGTTAAAAGAGGTAATAGCTGATTTATTTTATCAATTTTTTCAATTTTGACGTCTTAATTTAAATTTTCAGCTTGTTTTTTTTTTTATTTAAATACATACTATTGTCAAAGATAAAGCCACTCGAATTAAGTGATTAGAACGTTTTTATACAGAATTAGATTTTTTAAAATACTTTCCATCTTTTGGGCACCAAAAGATGAAAAGTATTTTAAAAAAATCTAATTCTGTATAAAAAGGCACCAAGACCTCCATTTTTAGCAAGCCAATTATGAGTTCGGCCAGGCACACAATGGTTTAAAATGCGGGGCCCAACATATCGGGAAGGATCACCCTCGAAAAAGTCTAGGGTTCTCGTCTCTAGTTAAGGTGTCAGCGTATTGCTCTGGAGACTGGGTTCGAATCCGGGCGGTCGAAAAATTCCAGCATTTATTGTGGGCTTTTTCAGAATAATAATAGTCGTGTAAAATGATATATGAGAGTATTTATTTAACTTTTCTGTCTTGAAGTATTTTCTTGTAGTTTATTATACGATTTTTATATCTATTCTATGCTTTGCATTTAAGAAAATCAAAAATTTAATTTCCCAAATAACTAATAGATAAAGCGCTGTGAATAAAATCAATATCCAGCATGGACAACACCGGTTTTATATGTCAAGCTTAATTACCTATACCTAGTTTGAGTTGTTGAATTTAATTGATATATTGTTTTTACATTTTACAGTTTATAATAGAAAATATCTTGAAAATTTTTTGGAGATTGTTTTCTAGACAACAGAAGGAAGAGAATGAAAGTGTAAGCTTTTATTTGATTCTATAAAATTATATTATTTAAATATTAATATATATATATATATATATTAATATTTAAATAATATAATTTTATAGAATCAAATAAAAGCTTACACTTTCATTCTCTTCCTTCTGTTGTCTAGAAAACAATCTCCAAAAAATTTTCAAGATATTTTCTATTATAAACTGTAAAATGTAAAAACAATATATCAATTAAATTCAACAACTCAAACTAGGTATAGGTAATTAAGCTTGACATATAAAACCGGTNATTATATATGTATCAATATTTTGAGCATAGAAATATTTGAATTAAAGTTAATTATAAAGAATAAACTAGTAGAAGATTACTTCATTATTTAAAGATTTACTTCATTTTAAATTAATTTACATACGAGGGGTGTTCCAAAAGTATCGGACCTTTATTTTTCCTGCGTAAACCAATGATGCACGGGAGGTCTCTTTCGGTGGAGTTGTGGAGGGGACAGTCCTGACATGAACAGTCCTGAATTTTTTCCCGCCTGCAGGAAGCGTCAGTCGCTGGCAGTCGGCCTATGAGTGAGGACGTGTAGCGAGCTCTCGTCGGATTCCACTAACAAGTAAGTTGGAAAATGACTGAACAACGTGAGCAGCGATATTGCATCAAATTTTGCCAAAAGCTTGGCGATACCCAAGCGAAAACCATTCGCAAGATTCAGCAGGCTTTCCGGGACGATCCTCGAGGCCAAAAAAAGCACAGCAGGTCTGCAGCAATGTTAAGATCATGTTGACAGTTTTTTTCGACTCCCGTGGGGTGGTGTATTGTGAGTACGCGCCACAAGGCCAAACCATCGCAAAGGAGTACTACCAGGAGGTCCTTCGTCGTCTTTGTGATGCTGTGCGATGCAAATGACCGGATCTGTGGTCAACCAAAACTTGGCAGCTCCATCATGATAACGCACCCGCCCATTCTGCGCATCCGATTCGGACTTTCGTCGCCAAACACAACATTCCTGTGGTTCGTCACACTCCGTACTCTCCCGACATGGCTCCGTGTGACTTTTGGCTATTTCCCAAGCTGAAAATGCCGCTAAAAGGAACCCGATTTTAGTCAAGAGAAGACATCATGCGGAATGCGACGGACCGGCTAATGGCCATTCCAAAAGATGCGTTCCAGCAGTGTTTCCAGCAATGGCAGGAACGCTGGGAGAAGTGTATACATTACCAAGGAGACTACTTTGAAGGGGATTAGGGTTT